TAATGAAAGCACTCAAATTCTGTTCCTGTTTAATTCAAATTCATGTTCAGCTATCTGAAAAATAAAATCCATTTTCAGCTCATTCTTGTTTCAAAATAAATAAGACTATGGTTTTAGGAGGCAGACAGGAAGTTATGCCCTTTTGACCCAAGGAGCTAAGAGGAAGGTTGGGAGGAAGATGATAAAGCAAAGGAGGGCATGATTTGCATGTACTGGTCATAGATCTTTAAAGTTTTAAATTATCCCAGTAGGAGGTATTTGGGGAGCAATCCCAAGCAGAATGCAGAATGTGGAAGCATGTTCTAGTCCACCGCGCTGTTCTGACTTTTTCTCCTTGTTCCCTGGAACCACAGTTTGGATATAGCTATTTCAGCACATTTCATAAAAGGTGAGGGTTCTGTGATCCTTTCAACGGGTTCTGGTTGGAATTAGTGTTTCTATGCACTAAATGCTCCTGAACAATTATGTCAGTCTAGGAAGTGCACATTAGCATGGAAGTAGAAGCCTCAGATACACAGATACTTAAGATCATGATTCCTTTCTGGACCTTCTTCTTCTTCACTCTTAATCATTTCATCATTTTCTTCCTTTTATATATATTTCTCTATCTTGCAGCTTTCTCTCTTTTTCCTTTGTGTTTATTCTTTTTACGCCTCCCAGCCCTCTTGGTAACCTTCCAATGCCTGTTGGAAAGGAAAGGGACAAAGCTTATCTTTTTGCCATTCTGCAGATGAAAATCCAGAGGGTTCATGCAAAGAGGTACAAAAAGATAGAAGGAAGGAGGGCTGTTGCTATGGGAGTCTTCTCTGCTTCCACTCTTCTGAAAAGGCTTATCCTTGGAGAGCCCTGCAGGATTCTGGGGACTCGGGAGAGGGAAGGGCTCTGAAACTCTTGCCTGAAATAGAAATCAGGTAACTTAATCCTCCTTTTATCCCATAGGAACCTGAGGATGAATGGGTGTGCACAGCAAGTGTGACAGCAAGGCAAGAAATTAGAAATAGTCCTGTGGAGTAGGAGGTTAACAGAGAAGAATGGACAGGGGTATCAGGGATGCTTTACACATCTCCTTGGTGTGTGGAACGATAAGGAAAGGCAAGGAATGGCTCTGAGCCTCGCTTGCATTGGCCAGAAGGTACAGCTAGACAGTAAGGTAAGTTACTCCCACCACTGAGCGGACAAGGACCTGGGGAGGAAGTCTCACTGCCAGCTGTCCCAGTGCTCCTTCTGGCCTGGGACAGCTGAGTGCAGAGGCAGAAGTGCCCAGCTAGTAAAGCAAAGCAACAAATTGCATATAGGCCTTTCTCATAAACTCAGTAAGGTTTTCAAAGTCTATGTCATGACATCTTATGCCTTGCCATAGATTTTTCTTAGTGAGTCAAGCACCTGGTGCAAATAATTATCTGCTGCAGTGAGTTAAACTTGTCTTTAATTAAAACTTTCTCCAAGCATCTCAGACATTTGAATTTGTTACCCTTATATTTATTAAATCAAACTTTCATACATCTTTCATACATGGATTGAAGTGTTATTGGAGCTTCAATTTTCAGGCACTTACTCCAGGCAAACATGAGCTTAATAAATGTCTGAAGATTGTGATGAAATTGTGGCAGAGAAGAATTTAATCCAGTCTCTTCAGAATACGGAAATATATAGGCAGCTATAATAACCTTACTTCATACTTGCGTGGATAGACGCATACAAGCTTCTCATGTGACTTCATTCTTGTTGACCATATTTGACAGCTTTTACATATAATTGCCCACTTAATATCTTCCCAATATATTTGACAATGAATAAAATGTAAAGCTGCTGATAAGGTGAATTGTATGTTTCCACTTAAATCTTTATTCATCATTAGGTTCTTTGGTTTCTTTAGAAATGTCCCAGTATTTTGCCTACTGTGTTTGCAGCATACCTGTGCTTAATGCTCTTTTGTTTCCTTTGTCTAGCACAAGATGCTGTTATTCCACAAAGTCCCAGGGAAAGTAAAAAAAAAGGGAGAAAAAAAAGTTAATTTAGGGAGTCAATCTGCTCAGTGTTTTGTCCCAGCATCCTGTCCTCCTGCTGCTTTTTACATGACCTTTTACACTGTGCAGAATTCATTACTATTGTAGAAAACACGGGTTTGTTTCTCACAGAATTTCAAGAAACCCATGCCCTGTTTTGAAGTAGATAGGATTCACAAAATGGCAAAACCATGCCTTCTCCTAAAGCCTCTTCATTCAGTAGCAAGTTAGCTAATTAGACCCTCTAAACAAAAATACCCTAGGAATAACACTGAGCAGAAGGAGAAAATATCATGATTGCTATTTTATGTACCACTTCACTGCAGGACAGCACAGGAACCCTAACCAGGTCAAGACTACATTGTGTCTGTCAGGTGCTGTACACAATAAATAGCAGTTCCTGCTTCAGGAAACATGAAATTTGTGCATATATTTATAGCTAGGTTTGTGGCCCCATGGTAACTCATTTTGTGCTTACCTCTACAAACGCCAGTGTAGCACCCAGAAATGTTTGTTGCAGGACACAAACACCTGTGGTTTTCCCCGGGCTGAATTGCTGTATAGTTTCACTTCCACAGAAGAGTAATAGCACCTTAGTGTAAATGGAGTGGAGTAAGGCCCTAAACACTGAGTTCTGTAACTGAGAGACACTTTATATGTATATATGTTTACTGAAAGGCCTTTCAAAGAGGCATAATTATGCAGGCATCTCTGTGTAATTTGCCTGGGTCAATGCTAATATTAGAAAACACTTATTCTGTGTGTCAGATGTATTGCTGCAGTGTGCAGCCCCTGGCCTGCCTGTCCATAATAAATCACTCTACAGAAGAACTAGACTAACCTGTATCTGTCTCAGCTGCTCTAATTGCAGACCACAAACACTGATAGAACCTAAAATGTTTGCTCTGTCTAGACTGAGTGGAGAAATGGAGGTGCACATTGCATTTGGTCTTTGGGGAGTACCTTCCGCTCCTTTTAAGGAGGCCAAGTGTACAAAAGCAACAAATGTTAATAAACGATTCCTTAAAAATCATTTGGATTAAAAATCATTTAGATTAATATGAAATAATCAGGTTTGAGGGTGTACTTTCAGTCTGGAAGAGCATTTAGCATCACTGGGAAATGCTGGGTCAACTGTCCACCCACGAGTAGGAGGTGGGACACTGCCACCTTCCTTGTCACATCCTAGAGGGGTATGGTCCTCTGCTCACTGAAAGGAGCCAAGAAGGCACAAAGGCTGTCATTGGAGGCACACCATGCCATCCTGTCTCCAGCATCCCTCCTGCAATCCTGGCTGCTTCAAGGGCAGGCAGAGCTGCCCTGGCTATCCAGGTGACAGGGGTGAATCTGTGACCTTAACCAGTAGCCAGTGATCATGTTGCTGCTGCGAGGTCTCTTCCTGCAGGCAGGCAGCTGTGAGAAGGGATGTGAGGCCACATCTCCAGAGGACAGGGGGAAGGAGGCGAGGCCCTGCAGGCTGCAGTGTGAGTGGGGCTCCTGTGTGTTTCCCTCCACCAGGAAGCTGGGCAACCTATTCTACTGGAATTACATTGAAAATGGCAGCCAAGGACAAGCACTGGGGTATTTGCAGTCCAAAAGCCCCATGGCACTCAGAGCTTTGGGTGGCAGGAATGGGCATGCTGGGCTGTGAATCAGCCTCACTCTCCTCAGCGAGCCTACGGCCACAGTTTGAGGCGGGCAGTCACCATCTTGAACCACAGTGCAGGCCTCTGGGCTGGGACGTGTTTTGTGTCCATGCTTGTACTGTCTACTGATGGCTGGGGTGTCTGTCCCAGCACCTCAGCTCTTCTTTGTGGAAATTGTGCTTTTCATTGAAAGGAAAAAGTCACTTTCTAGATCCCAATGTGACTAAAAGGCTCAGGAGCCAGCAAGCATATGAGAACAACTCAAATTACAGTTGATTTGGCAGGGGGAAGTGGGTTTCCCTCAGACATCTCCAGCCCAAAGAAGGCTAATGCATGATTCCTCCAAGGTGGGGTGGGCCATGCTGTGGCTGCATAGCATGGGGCAAAAGGGCTTTCACCTTGTCTTCACCAGGGACTGTAGTGCTAAGACAAAGGGTAATGGATTCAAACATAAACAGAGGAAGTTTAGATTAGATATAAGGCAGAAATTCTTTACTGTGAGGGTGGTGAGGCATTGGAATGGGTTGCCCAAAGAAGTGGCAAATGCTCCATCTCTGACGGTGTTCAAGGCCAGGCTGCACAGAGCCTTGGGTGACATGGTTTAGTGTGAGGTGTCCCTGCCCATGGCAGGGGGGGTGGAACTTGATGATCTTAAGGTCCTTTCCAACCCTAACTATTCTATGATTCTGTGATTCCCTGAGCTGAAATGCAGCTGCCACCCCCTTTGCACTGCAGCAGAGGGGCAGTGGACAGAGATGCAGGTGGTAAAAAGGTGCAGAGGCTGCTCATGGTTTTGCCTGGCATCCATCTTGGACACACGCTGTGGGCATGGAGACACTCCTCTGGCCAACTGTCCCTTTCCCTGTGATTTCCACCTGGAGGTCCCCGAGGGCTTTTCTAAGAGCCCTCAAAGTGGTTGTTTCAGGGTAGTACCAGCAACTGTGGGAAAGCACCCCAGTGGGAGAGCTCCATCCAAATCAGCACCCCTGATCCAGCCTCCTCACAGCCCCAGTGGTCCTGCCTCTGCTGGCCACCAGCACCAGCCACGGTGCCGCCAGCAGCCATGGGGGCCCCTTACACCGCAGCTGAGCTGGAAGCTAAAGGCAGGAATTCCTGACTTGGCTGACCTGAGTCCAAACAACTGAGATTAAGAATGAAAAAAAAAAAAAAAAAAAAAAAGAAATAAATAAAAAAGCAGTTAACTCTTTTCAACTGAGTTAATAATTGATGCGTTTTCCAGTCTTGACTCTTGTCTGGCTGGGAGCAGGAAGCAATGCTCCTGAAAAATCTTTGAGGCAGTGTTTTCACATGTTGCCTTGGCCCATGAGGGTCACAGAAAGCCTACCACCTGGGAAACCCAGGGCTGCTCAGCTTGTAAAAACACAAGCACCAGCACCGCCGTGTCTATCCTCAGAGGACAGGATTGACAGGCATCAATCTGGAGAAGGCTTTAAAGGGTTACTGGGCTGCAAGAGGGAAGGGTGGGGAGCGGAAGGCGCGGGGGGAACCGAGGTTCTCTTACAATCGTCAGATCAAGTCACAGGGTGGAGGAGGATTTTCCAGATCCTTTGACCTTAGGGCTGGGGAGTGAAAGGAAGAGGAAGCACATTTGCACAGATCCTCTGTCCGAGCTTCCTCAGGGAGGGGCTGGGGCCTCCTGGCCTTTTGCTGCATGCAGGGCCATGCGCACACATACACACAGCTAAATAAACATGGGAATGAAGTTCAAAGTAGACCCACAGCAGAAAACCTAATCTACAGGAACCTGCTATTAACACTTGTGTTCACCACCCCCCACCCCCCCACCCCCCCATATCTTAAACATTAAGTGTTTAACCAGCCATAAAAGAAAATATTTGCTGGGTACCAGGAATACCTTGCAGTCCTATAGCACTTTCTAAGATTTTTTCAATCACATTATGAGCCATTAAGCCTGATTATGCCTTTGGGTAGGCACTTCAGAAGACTCAGAGAAGTAGGGAAACTGAGGCATAAGCCATAAATTAGTTGGTGGGGGGCATTTGGGACCCCTGTGGTAGAGGTAGACAGGGAGCAAAGACCCCGTAGATGCCCATCACTTACTTTGCTCCTGACCCAAACAAAGCCCATTGAAAGCACCAGGAGTTTTTTATTGACCTTAAATAGGCTCTGGCTTAACCTCCTCTGCTACAAAGACGTCATCATTTGTATTTTATAGGATATCTGTCCTGCAGAACAGGTGTTTGAATCCTCAGTATTTTGAGACAGTAAGATATATTAAAAATAGGCATGAGAGCATCTCTCTCATTTCCCCATTTTACTTTTTCCTCATGAAGTGATTGTCAAAAGTAGCAATTTAAAGGCTCATTAACAATACAATCAAACCAAATAGCTCCTGGTTTTGGCCTCTTGGGTTTTGGGGTTTATTGCTTTTTTTTCCTCCTTATTTTGTTTTCAAGCTACAGGAAACATTCATATGGGCCATTTTAGATTAGACACAGCATTCAGTGACCCTCCCTACAGTAGATTTTAAAGAACAATTAGGACATTATAACTGTGAAGAGGCACTCAGACCTGCAAAATTGCTCAGTAGTTTATGTTTCCTAATCCTGAATAATTCACCTCCTGCAGAACATTAAAATAATAACCTAGCATGCAAGAAATTCATGTCCTTACAGTAGCAGAGCAACTGCCCCGACAAAGTGTCAAATTCAACAAGCTTTTTTTTCTGTTCCACATTATAATTGTGTGTGAGTGTCTGTAGCGGTGTAGCCTCTTGGCAGGTGAGCCAGCTGACGGTAACGGAAACTTTTCCTGAGTCACTAAGTTAATTTGGTGAGGGTAGCAGTCATGTTAGCATCCATTAGCTCTGTGACTGGATCTTCATCTCAAATGGGAAAGCAGTTCTGTCCCCCTAACTGTTGGTCTGACCACTTCTCAGCAGCTGCACATTGTTGGTTTGTCTGACTTTTTGTAACACATCTAGGTCATTCTGCTGTGTTTTCTATTCACCTGCACTCCTATATCTCTTCTTTTTATTGATCTTATGATGCTGATACACAGAAATTATACAACTCTTCAAGTGACTGTATATTTTGGTTTTTGACACAAGGTGGTGTTTACTCAACATTCTGTTAATCACAGAACAGAAGAAAGAGCCCCTTTAAATAGTGATTTACAAACCTTTCAATCTGTCATTTTCATATCAGAGAACCCTTGGTTCTGATAAATGAGCCAATTCATCTGAACATTGGTATGCTCCTTCTTTTTAGTATTTCTTTTCTTTCAGTCATCAGCTTTGGTTTAGTCTGCATATTTCTTCCTCTTGCTTCTGAGTACTTTACTCCCATAAAAGAGGTAATGATATTTATTGGCTGTTACCTTCTGGAGGTCTAAATTTTATTCCAGCAAGATAACAAAGATAGCCATAGGCCATTTCTGATTAGATTTTATCTCTTTCCATTGGAAAAAAATAAAATAGAATCACAATTTGCACAGATAAAAGGACTTAGACAGAATGAGAGCATTAAATACCCTTTCATTCAGAAAAGTTTACAGTTGCCTGTGAAACGGCTTTGCCATCAAGAGGTCTGTCAGTAGCAAAACAGGGGCTCCAGCACATCTTGCCCATTGCTGGATTTCTATCAGCCAGATCATGGTGCAGAGTCAAGTGCGCTTGTCATGCTGGTGAATGACCTCTTCCAGGTCACCTCTATCCAGCCCCATCCTGCAGAATGTAACAGCCTGCAAGCTGGACTTCTGGACACGGTGTCAGAGCATCTTTAGTATCAGCAATTCATCCAGTAGCTGCAATTTGCTGGTGGCGTACCTGTAGTTGTACAATGGGAAAAAGCTCCCTTCAGTACAATAATTTTGCTTGCTTGTTTTTTGCTTGCTGACTGGGGCAGCACAGCCACATCACACTGATGCTTGTCTCAGCACCAGTCACCAACAAAAGTAAAGTCCAATTCCAGGTCTTAAGATAGGAAGGTGCTCCCTGAGAGAGGTCACTCCTTTCTGTCCGTGACAGCACCTTACTTTAACATTTGCACTCTCTTGGAGTAGCAATGTTATTACCAATAAGAGGAAACAGAACTAGATTAATCCATGCCCCTTACTCACAGAAGAGATGGGAACAACTGCAGGTTTTGCGAGTGGAAACCAAAGGCAAATCTCATTTCTGCAAGTCAGCGTTTCTTTAGTAGCATTTTAGGCACATACCAGGGAGCCTGAAGCAGTAATATCTCATTACGTGTTCTGAAGCTTAGTCCTGCTGCCGAGGAGAGGAAGAGAACAGACTTTCTTTCTGAGACTGCTATTCCTCCTGCCTTATGCTAAGGAGGCAGCTGGACCTGATGTCACAAGCTCTTCCATCAGCAACCTTAACGATGATGCTGGTAACTCCTTCCTCTCCCCTCTCTGGAGCCACCTGGAATGGGATTCCCACAGGAGGACTTTGTGATGTGAACAACCCACTGTGAAAACTGAAAACCAGCACAAAGGAGCTTGCTGTTTCCTCCCCAAGGTCAGGAAGAAAAGCTTCCAGCTTCTCAGCTGCATGTGTTTGCTGTGCCTTGTATGGACATAGTAGTCATATTTGTCTTGTCTTGAGGTTCCCAAGAGAGGCCAAAACTAAGCTACAACAGAATTTTATATTTCAGCAAGGATATACTGTGGTCTTTCAAGGAAAAATAAAAACAGTGCCGCTGTTCACAGCTTGAGCCACCGCTGGAGCAACACGGCAATGTCGTTTTCATACCAGCCAGACTGTCTGTACTTCCTAACTGGACCAGTGCTCTCACATGAAATCAGACAGCTTTTGTTCTCTGTGAAGCTTGCCCAACTCTCCCATCTTTCCACCTGCAACAAGCACTTCAACAGCTTTGGTCATGCTTCCTCTGTGTGAGGTCCTCTGTGCCATTTTATGAGACTTTTAATGCTATGCAGGCAGAAATTTGAGTCAAAATCCCAGATCGCATTTTAGAAATACTTTGCAACTCCAGAGCGTACTGCCTACTGCCAGTTGAGCATTCTGAGTTACAAAAAGCAGTGGACATTGTTTAGAGGGCTTATATTTCTTAGCAATTTGTAAGCTATTATGGTGTTGAGTTAATTTTTGAAGCGTTTTCTTTTTTCCTCCTGATTTCCATATGAGCAGTCTTACAAGGCTTAAGAGGCAATCTGCTAACAGTGAGGTCAAAATCTAGAAATATGGTCAAATCTTCTATTAGTCCCAACTCTGAGATAGTGGTGTACAATGAACTATAGCTATCAAACATCTGAAAATCTGAGATAAGCAAGAAAAAGCCTTAAAAATTGTTTGGGCATAATTTCTGAAGCAGAAAAGGGAAGTGTTTGGTGAAATGCATCTGTATGAATCTTCAGGAAAATATTGTGAGCCTGACTTCACTAAAATTTTCATATTCAAAATTCCACTCCTGGATTAGAGCACCTAGTTAGCTGTTAACTAACTAGGAGGATTAGGTTGAAGGCATTCAAACCTGCTCCTGGGGAAGCAGCAGCATGTGGCATCCATGGCTGTGGGTAGTCTAGAGGTGTGCCAGCAGGAGTACAGAGTTGGGATGCAGGCCAGCACGCACCACTGCTGGAGCACAGCACAGAGTGGGCTTGCACCTAGGCAGGAGAAGGCAGCAATGACCCCACACTGGAAGCAGGCTGCCAGGCTGCCTTCCTCCCTCCCCATCTGCTGGGAAGGTGGATATGATTAAGCCAATTGTCCTGCCCATTAAAACAACTGGAACAGCAATTGCAGAGTGAAGGTGAGCCTGAGAGGGGTCAGTGGCAATGCTTGGATGTGATGGATTTGTTTAGCTTGTCACAGAAATGGACACTAATGTTAAAATTTCAAATGTCCTGGTCTATGCAAGTGTTATGGTTTTTAGCTTGTGATTTCCTTTAAAAAAATATTTCTCTCTTTTATCCTTTTATTGTTTTGTTGGGCTTTTTTTCAAACAGTTAAGGACACTTGGATACTGACACTGGAGAATGAATTATTCTATGGCAGGAGCCAATAATGAGTAAATTGATTCATTTTTCTTTCAGAGAGTAGGGAGCAGAGGGTAGGGAGACAGGGGAGGAAGTGCTAAATGTTCAATTAACCAAATGAACTAACAGGCTAACCTTTGGGGAATGCTTTATATGATATATTACCATGCAATTAAATGGTAGTATGGTATTATAGTACTATCAAATTCCATTTAATTTCCTATAAGCTCTCAGGATGAAAATGCAGGTGAAAGTTGGTTCTATTGATCTCTCTTGCTCTGACCTACTGAACAGTTCTCAAGCGGACAAGTGACTGTTTTCCTCAGGTTAGTTACATGAGTGTCATCTGGACTCACACACTGTAAGGTAATGATTTGCTCATGTAAATGGCTTCACTGAGGCAACTTCATGTTTGTCTGTCTCCCTCCTGGAGCATACTTGAGATATCATATTAGTGAATGTAAAATAAG